TGCCATGAGATCCACGAATCTCTCTGTTTGCTCAAAGCCCCGGCGTACGTACTGAGAGCCATTTGGCCTCTCGATGTAAAGTCGTTGTCAGCTGCAGGTAAGCCAGTCCCCGGATAGCAACCTCCCTGCACAGCAGAAGGAAACGCTCTCTGGCCCTGCCCCCTGCCCCCTGCCCCCTGCCCCAGCTTCGGCCACTGATCTGATGGCTGTGATCCACCAGGGTTTCCGGTGCCTGGTTTTCAGGAGGACATTGACTAGTCCCTCTTAGTCTGGAAGCGCATCTCGCCACATGACAGCCACAGGGAACCTCCCTGGGGTGGTGGCTGAGCAGGAGGTGCACTGGCAGGGATTTGAATGGAGGGCGTCCACAGGGATGGTGAGCATTCTAGCCCTGAGCTGCCAGTGTAATCCAAACTTCCACCCCCACCCCAGACGCTCCCTCCCTCTCTCCTCACCCTCTTTATGTTTCTCCTAAGCATGTATCACCTTGAAGCAGGCCACACGAGTCTCTTTGTTTCTTGGGTCTATTGTCTATCTCTTAAACCGGAATGAACGCCTTGTGAAGGTAAGGATTTGCGCAAGTCCACTTTTTCATTTCTAACTCCTCAACGTCTGAAACAGCGCCTGGTACTGAGCAGGTGCACCCTACGTACCAGCTCTGCTCCACAAGGCCAGGGATCTGTCTCAGAGCTTGTGGAAAATCCCTTGCCCCAACCCTAGTGTTAGCAAGGTGCCCTTACGGTAAACCAGCTGCCAGAGAACAGACCACAACTGATGGGGACCTGTGGGAGTCAGAAGATTTTCTGTCAACTAGACACTCCTGGCTAGGGTGGAGTCAGACCTGTCAATCAGGTCAAGCCTGATGCTGTCTCCTTGGGGGGGGTGGCCTCCTCCCTTCCCCTTCCTGCTTGCTGGACACCCTGAGAGCTGCCAGAGCCCGGTCCTGTTTCCACTGACCGCAGATCCATGAGACTTTGCACGCACTGGCCTCCGATCTTCCTGCATGCTGTATCGTTGCATGTGGTTCCGTGAGTCTGAAGAGGACTAGTATTGGACTGCTGGACTTGAGTTGAACTGCGCTGGGATGTTTTCTTGATATATAATTAATTACTTCTTGATACAAAGCTCTTCCTTACACATACATGAGTGTCACTGGATTTGTTTCTCTAGTCAACCCGGCCTAACACATGATCCCCACGTATATCAGGGTTGAACTGTGCTCTGTCGTTTCTCCCCCTCCCCACCATAGATTTTACTCACCAATCTTACAGAAGGAGACTGCAAAACCTTTCTTCCATGGTGCCTCTGGATGGACTCGAACCCCTGACCCTTTGTTAGCAGTTAAATATCTTAACTGCTTGTACCACATCTTCCTAATACCGCCGAGCCCTTAGGATGGGACCACATTTTTGGAACCTTCCCAGGATAAACCAAATGACCGCACAGAGCCATCGTTATTCTGTGTGATGCTCCTTTATAATTATAATTATTATCCTACGCGTAATGATCCATTCCTCCTACATAGTTCCGGCAGTAATTGCTGGCCTTGGGCGCACTGGCTGTGCAGGGCCCATGTCCACAGAAGCCGTCTCTGAGGGGCACAAGCAGGTCGGCTCTGCCAAGAGGCCCAGGGGCTTGGCAGTTTCCTCTCGCTAGTGGATTCACTAAAGTTGCTGGTGGTAAAAGAGCAGAGATCCTAGGAGGGGCAACTGTGCTATCAGCAAGAAGGTTCTAGTCTTTCCCCCAGCCCAGGGTTTGCCCGAGTGAGTTTGGGTACTAGAGCTAAGAGGAGGGTAGACAAGGTGGAGTCTGTGGTCCTGAGAGGTAGTTAACAGCCGGGTCTTCCAAAGAGCCTCCTGGGCAGTCACTTTCTACCCTGCACCCCAGTTTCCATTCTGCCAAGTGCAGCTCTTGTTAGGTGAACCTTCCAGTTCTTCTGCACTGACTCTCCAGCCCCCAGCTTCACCTCCTGGCAGACCCTGCGTGAGCCCCCTTGAAGGTTGGAGTCTGGGTCACCCAGATATTCTGTGGTGACAGTCAAGGTGGAGCCCAACCTATCAATTAGGTCGAAGCCTGATGACACCTCCTTGTGGGGTGGTGGTAAGACCGACTGTGAGGCTGGCGCAGGACCAGACGGTGTCTCATCCTGCTGTCCACAGGCTTGCAACGTGTTGGAACCAACCGACAGCCCCTAACGACAATGGAGACACACTGAATCGGTGCAGCTGTCATCTTGAGAGCAGTCGCCATAGTTCAATGAGGTTCAGGGAGAAGACAAGGAGGGCAGGCTGGCACCAGTCAAGGTGTCATCTTGAGAGCAG